TGTGTGTGTGTGTGTGTGTGTGTGTGTGCTGAGGATTGAACCCAGGGGCCCTCTACCACTGACCCACACCCCCAGCCCTTTTTATTTTTTTATTTTGAGACAGGGTCTTGCTAAGTTCCTGAGGCTGGCCTCAAACCCATGATCCTCCTGCCTCAGCCTCCCAAGTCACTGGGATCATAGGTGTGTGTGTGCATGGCCGTGCTCAGCTGCCATTTCAGTAGAAGTACGCGGAGTTGAACTGGCCAGACGTTATTTAAGGACTTTCTTTAGCTCATTCAAGTGAAAGTTCACACGTTTTGCTGAGAAATTCTGTTCCATTTGGTCTGAGGGTGCGGCCCCAGCTGCCCTGGATCTGTGGCCTCGTCGCGGCTCCCGTGGAGTAGGAGCCTCAGGAGCGCTGAGTGCTGTCCCGAGCTGTGTCTGGCCTAGGGTGCTGGGTGAAGGGTGGCACCCGCCCCACTTGGAGGCTGAGAGTGAGAGAAAGTTCATAGGGAGCACTGGTGGCCCGCCTCGCTGCCTGTCACCTTGGACACCAAACAACGCTCCTGGTCAGGTGGAGGCAGAAGCAGCGACCAGAGGCTCTCAGGGGCTGGAAGGGGCGCCTCCTCTCCAGCCGGCAGCTCTGCTCTGAAGGGAGGCCGACACTGCCTGCAGACGGAGGCCTGATCCTCGGCCTCCCACTAGAGGCCGCAGGACTCCGTGGGGTAGAGAAAGCCCTGCCACACGACCAGGGGCGGGGAGGGAAGCTGACACTGCTTTGCCTGGCCATGAATAGTGACAATTTCACAATCATGACCTAAAATGTTCTTAAAAACCCAGTTTTTCTCTGTGCTCCTGCGGAAGTGGGTGTGTGACATTCCGTTGCTAGTGGGAAAACAGACACCAAATAGGACCGCACTTTGTGTTTTCGATATCCATGTTTACTGAGGACCTACTATGTGCCCAGGCAGCCTGCTGGACGAAGGATTCATTCTCTGTGCCCAGGAGTGCTGTGTCCTGGTGAACCTGACACTTAGCAGGTCTCTGAGGGCAAGCTGAAAGGGCTCACCTGTTTGGGGTCATGAAACAGCTGAGAAAGAGAAGCTTTGAAGGCCAGAGGGGGCAGGCCGAGAGGTCAGCTCAGGGGGAGGGGGTCCAGCCTAGGACGTCCAGGCAGGAGAGCCCTGGACAGAGATGTGGAGGCCGGCAGACACGGGGCCTCCAGAGTCACAAACCTGGCTGCCTTCAGGAGCCAACACGCCCGTGGCAGGCCAGGCCTGGGGACTGGCCAATCAGGCAGCTCCTTAGGGGCCGAGCAGGGCCACGCTGGCCCTGGCTCCCAGGCCCTCCTCAAGAGAAGCCACAGAGCAGACCGCACACCTGGCGTGACGGCCCCGTATGGAGAGGTGCACGGACCCAAGCCCGTTGCCTCTGCTGGCCACTGGGCAGGGCCAGGGCCGGGTGGGCAGGCCAGTGCAGGGGAGCAGGGGGCAGGGGGTCTGCCCCAGGAGGCCAGCACCCAGCCCCAAAGGAAGGGCTGGCCTGCAGGGGGGAGCCCCGCAAGTGCTGAGAGCCTGGGTCTGGGGTCAGGCCCCTGGGTTCAGACCCCGCCTCTCCCCTCTCAGTCTCTTCATCTGTGAAATGGGGTCATAGCCGGGCCCACCTCCTTACCGGGTGCAGTGGGACTCCATGACTAACCTGTGTCAGGAGCCGGGGTCTGGCTCAGTGGCCGAACCTTTGCTTAGCATGTGAGGAGGCCCTGGGCCTGAGAATCCCTCTCCCTCTCCTCTGCCTGTCCCTCTCTCTCTCTCCCTCCCCCTCC